ATATATAACTTGCCTTAAGCTGTAGGAACCCTGACAGATGTATCAGATTGTATGGTGTTTGTGCCTACATATCCCAAAATATGTAAGATTTTGTAGTAAAATAAAGAGCTTAATTGAGTGGGAAATATTGTCGTTAACATTCATACTTTTAACTTTAACAACTTTGTCTGCAGTATTTCTTCTGTACAAGGCTACTAGCAAGGTTACTGACTTAATTAGCTAATAGTACAAAATGTCCTCCAAACTCTGTTATGATAATTAATGCGCTCATCTGGGAGGATGGTTAGAAATCTTATAAACAAAGTTCCATGACATTTCAGAGTTTTGTCATTTGTTCTGACTTGTAGCTGTATAAATAACTTGAATTGAAATTGAATTAAATCCAGGAAAGTTGCTGGTTGGTAACTTTAGGGCCTTTGATTCTGTGTTATATTGGCAGCTATTTAACACGTGAACTGTTCACCAAATAAAGTCTGTATAAATTCAGATCAGAAAACTGCCTCTCGCTGCTCCACTGCACACTCCAAAGGTTAATGAATTGGAAGCATGGTTTAAATTGTCCTGAGGGTAGACAGCAGTTTGCAGCCCTAAACTTGGCTCATTTATTTGACTTTAATTCTAAGATATAGTCACTAAACTAAGATTATAAATGTGAGGGGAAAAAGCTTTATTGTTACAATACAGAACAGGATTAAGAGACACTGCAGTTTAACAGTTTCATACATATATTTCACAAAGGGATTTTGAGTTGGAAATATTCTCCCACCTCTGAAAATATGAATGCAGAAATGCTTCGAATCATCTTTGTGTTGTCCGCAAGAAGGACATGATGCAAAAACAGGACATGATACTTCTTATGTTTACACATCTTATGACAAAACAACCTATAGTGCATGTGTAAAACTTAAAAGTTTATATGAACTAGTTAAGAAAATGTCCTCTTGATTCAAATAATTTTAAAGCCCAACAGTAAAATATTTTGATTCTAATTAGACATTTGGATACTTGTGCAAAATGTCAATTTTACATTCAAATTCTGCAAATTCATGTGTGATTATTAGTTTTTTCAAGTAAACACAAAACGTGTCAATTTTTTTTCTTTCAAAATCTTTATTTTCCTCAGCAGCAAAAAGCACTTAATGTTCTCTGCAAAACCCTCACATATTTATTTGAAGGGATCCATGATTAGTTGTAACTTTAGACTTTATTTAATAAACATATATTTTAACTGTAAAATAAAAACTGTAAAAGCACTGTAGGCTGTTTCGTTTTTATAATTTTAAAAAATATATTTTAACATGGACGGGGCCATTTTATTTACACACAAAGCATTCTGGGTAAATGATGACGTGGATAGGTCCTCGGTGCGAGGCTGCTAGTGAGCTGTATCCACCCTGAAGG